CTATACCCCTATACCTATGCCTATACCCCTATACCTATGCCTATACCCCTATACCTATGCCTATACCCCTATACCAATGCCTATACCCCTATACCTATGCCTATACCCCTATACCTATGCCTATACCCATACCCATACCCATACCCATACCCATACTTATACCTATTCGTATACCTCTGTCTATGCGTATGCCTATGCTTAATATACATATATACTATATATAATATAAATAAATAAAAACAGGAAAACAAATAAAATAAAATACATTTTAAAGATTTAAATGAAATATATATTAAAAGTAGCATTCTCAAATTGTGAACTTCCATCAATACCTTTGTTTATTGGTAAATATACAAAATACATAAGTATAACAAAAGAAGTACACTCTCTCTCTCTCTCTCTTTGTCTCTCTCTCTCTCTCTTTGTCTCTGTCTCTCTCTGCTAGTTAACTCATTCCGTTGAAAACTGAGATTGAACATGCTGCCATCTACCGTCTGCATGGACTTACACAAAAGGATTCTCTGGCTTCCTTTCAGTCGCTTGGGGGTATACCCAGCCCAGGCAGCCCGCTCAATCCAACTGGTACACTAATATGCTGTATAGAATTTCCATTGCTAGTTGGCTGGCTCTTAATTAGCCGCTGCTAAAATAAGCTCGCACAAAAGACAGCGGCGAAAATGTCATCAGAATGCATAATGACAACGGTACGTTATGGACACCCTGGCCGGAGGTATGTGGGGTGGGAAGGGTGGTGTGAAGGGATCGGGACTGGGCTAGGGACTGCGGCCAGTGGGCGGGGTTTTTGGGGCTGGCTGCCCAGGTGCAAATCTCAAAAACAGACATGGCACATGTGCGCCACCTTGCGGCGCATTCAAAGCTACGGCTGCGGCATGCATGGCCAGATCCAGTGGCAGAGCCCGGTGACAGCGGCAGTTGTCATATGGGTGGATTGTTTTTTGGCCACGACGGAAACGGAAGCTGCCTCGCTAACGTGCCTGCCATACGCCGTCACCAATAACAGCACCAGCAGCAGCAGCAGCAGCAACAACTACAATAGAAACAACAACAGGTACAACAACAGGCACAAAGCTGCTCAGTTAACTTGTTTATGTCGCTGTTTGCTTTTGTGTTACTTTTTATGTTGGCATATAATTTCTGTGCCTTTATTTTGTTGCTCTTTTTTCAAATGCAGAAGCTTATTAGCTGCTGGCTGTGTTTTGCAACACTGGAACTTGGGAATGGTGATATATAATAATAATAATAAATTTAGTAGAGTTTGATGATATCTATGTGCAATATTGAAAAAAAAAAGAAAATAATATAAAATAAAATAAATGAATGAATAAAAAAATAAGTAAATAAATAGATAAATTTATAAATAAACAAATAAATAAATGAATGAATAAATAAATATTTAATGAATTTAATTTAATAAATTTATTAGAGCTTGCATCAGTTTATTGAAAGAGAACATATTAAAACGAATCAAATTATATGAACTTAGAATAATTGAATTTTAAACAGATTGAATTATTCGTGATCATTTAAAAATAGTTTAAATAAAACAAAAATATATACATACACTCAACTCTTTTCCTTTAATTCGTTACCTTTACCTTTCTCATCTCTCATCATTAGAGAGCGTTAAGCTTATAAAGCTTCTGTCAAGCATTTATAATCTAATGAATCTTCAATAGAAATTTTTCTAATTCAGGCTGTTTCAATCTAGTAGATTGTATCCGTAATTGGGTTTTACTCGCTACTCTCTTCACTCCTAATTGTTTTCTATATTTATTACCTTCGTATAAGCTTGCCTTAATTTAATCGTTACTCTGTTCTATTCCTTTTCTACTTCTACTCGATACTTTGATATACCCGTACTCAAGCTCCACTCGTTATTTTGTTCCACACTCTACTCGTTGCTTGCTCTGGCTCTTTTTGCTCTACCTTTACTGTACTCTTACTCCACCTTACTCCTCGTATTCCCATTACTTCATATTACTCTTTGATTTGGTGTACTCGTCATATTGTTTCGTACTATCATACATTCGTATCACTCTCTTATTCGGTTACTTTGTTACACTCATCTAATGCCTTCTCGTTACTATGCTCTACTCATTGCATTGATTTGTGGCACTCGTTTTTGGGGCTCTACTCTCTTAAATGCCATCGAGCGACTCGTCTCATTGTAGCGCATTGGAAGAGTAGCAAATTTCAACTTCAAACAAAATGCTCGCACACTAGTGCAGCTGTTGACTAGGCTGCCCTGCCGGCTATAAATGCCAGTGACAATTTGCAGTGGGTCTCCACCCAAGCGCTCACTCTACTCCTCTTTGTCAGCCTCTATCCCTCTCTATCTCTCTCTCTCTCTCGCCCTCTTGCTCAGCCAATTCTAAGCCAAGCCAAACACCGCCTAACGGACCAGGTTGGGGGCGTTTGAAGCGACTGCTGTTGCTGTTGCTGCGGCACAAAAGTCATTTTTGATTGTTTTCATGAAAATGAACATAGAAAAATTATAATTAAAATTCATATGGAAATTGTCGAAAAAACAGAGTAAAAAAAAAACAACAAAAACATATTCTGCTCGGGCCCTGTCCGAACAATGGAACGTTAGCCTTGTTGCTGCTGCTGCTGTTGTTGTTGTTGTTGTTGCTGGCGCAACTGCAGGCCAAAAAAGATTTCATCTGAAAAACCTAAAGACCAAAGAAATGCAACTGGGGGCAATGGAAATTTGTATTCGGGGTCAGGTGGCGAGAGGTTGGCGAAACGGGCCAACTGAGCTGCGGGCGTATTGTTTGTGGAACATGTGTTAAGCACACACACACACACACACACACACACACACAGACACTATGTAAAACGACAACAATGTCAGGTCTAACAATATTAGGAGAACGGCCTCTCCACCTGAGCCCCGGCTACACAGAGACTACCATTCTCTCCTTAATCCTTTGCCCCTGTCGCTGCCCCTGTCGCTGCCCCTGCTAGCATCGCCCACAAGTATGCAAAGTGGTCAGGCCAACGCATGCCGGCTGCTCATTTTCTTGTTGTCGTTTCATTTTGGCACTTTTCCTACACTTTTATGCGATAAAATATTTAATTATATTTGGCAGCTTGTTTGTGCATTGTGCGGTTCGCCTTTGCCTTTGCATTTGCCATCATCCAATTAACATTGCCCTGGGGAAGCAACAGCAGCAGCAGCAGCGCCAGTCTCTGCAGTAATGTGAATAGTGGAGTCGGCTCAAATCAGCGACGCTGAATGCGACCCGTTCGCACATTTCGTCAGCGATTGGAATGGGCACAAAACTTCGTTTAGTCAGGCATTCATATATAATGAGTGATTAATTAGATGTGTCAGGCTGGTGGGCAGCACCAGCGAAACGATTGGAATTGAAACACTCGCTTATTAGCTGTCGCTTAAAAGTATGCAACGATTTTCACTTTATTTCAAACAAAAACACACACACAGAGTCAACATTTTGCCTTAGCCAGGTGGCACTGCGGGCCCAGTTGTAGCGGCGGTTGTTGTTGTCGTTGTTGTTGTTGTGGTTGTAGGCGTGGTCAACGGGCGTTTAATGATCGTCACACGTATGCAGCCGGCATGATCGACATGCTCGCCCACAGGCGCCGCACGCAGCTGCCCCACGAGGCAGAGGAGGAGCAGCAGCAGGAGCAGCAGGCGAAATATGTTGAAATAGCTGCGCATCTGTCTATGTTAGCTGCACCACTGAACCACTGAGAACCACTCAACTTGCTGTCGAACTACAACTGTGGGCTGCACTTGGCACTCGGCGATGATTTATAGTTGTCTTCGTTGCGGAATTCAACAATTATTGGCAACTCTATATATGTATGTATGTGTATGTGTGTGTGTGTAAATAATAAAGTTTTTATAGCAGCTGCAGCTGCGTTTAGTTTCATTCATATGATATAGCCAGGTGCTTAGATAAATAATGAGCAATGATGATATATAGTGAATGAATGCATTGGACGAGGCTTTAGCTGAATTCATTTTAGCATATGCCAATTCGAATATGAATACATACTATACATGAATATATAATATAAAATATTCTATATATATATATAAATACTAAATACCATATCATAATCATCTCACACATATCTCTCTTCTCTCCCGATCTGAACTCTTTGTTATCTTTGAATGCCGCGAGTTCCGCTCGTAAATCGTCGTGAATGCAAGTGACGATAAGCCCATTTATTACAAACTGCCATTACGACTATCAAGATGGGGCTCAATGATGTCATTTGCGGTAAATTCCCCAGCCACGCAAGCCGGCAGCCTTCGGCCTTAGATGCATTCGTATGCATTATGTGTGTCTAGATTTGCATCTCACAGTTTATTATTTGCAATTACTATCGGGTGCTCCTGGGGCGTTACCAGCTTTTTACATTCATAAAAAACAAGACCAGATTAATGGTGCATCAGCTTTTAATTGCAACCATTTCACGTGAATCGAAATTGCATCAATGGGCATACGAGTTGTACTATGTGACGAAATTCAACTTTGATTTGTGGCTGTCTGAATCGGTTTAGTCATTTGTTTTAAGTTTGCTTTAGAGTGAAGTTGGTTTTAGGAATTTTTAAATTTTATTTATTTATTACTATTATTTTTATTTAAATCTTTTTTTACGCATATTTTTCTTTCACAAAAAATGTGAAAGGTAATTTCTGTTCTGTGAGTCAAGAAACTTTTTTCTAAGCATTGATATTGACTTGTTTTGATTTTGATTTTGATTGATTTTGTTTAACTTTTAACTTTAAGTAAGACATTTGAGCTCACATTCGTTTAGATTTTCCATTGTTCGATGCTCAAAAATCCTGGAGAATATTTTTATAAAAATATAGAATATATGCGTATATCAATAAATGCAAATATGCAGGATCTGATGATATTAAGTTTCGATCAGGGACCTTAACGAATATAAATATTATTGAAAAATATGAAAAATAAAAATTATTCTTTGAGATATTAAAAAAAAATAAATAAAAAATAAAATTATTTGATAATTATTAAAATTAATTTATATGATTAAAATCAAAAATAATTATTACACATCAATTTTTATATAAAATCAAATCATGCGTTTTGATATAAGTCTGGCTCAATTAATTTAGTTTAATTCATTTTAGGTTTGCTTGAGACTCTTAATATACTCAAATAAATAATTATTGCTAAAGCAAAATTTATTTTCCTTAAAAAAAATGAAAATTAATGGTATAAATTAAAAATATAATATTTTCTTTAGATTCAGTTGAATATTTTGAATATTGATATATTTTTTTAAATTTTATTTTTATACCCTGAACCCATTGAAAATGGGAAATCAGGGTATAATGGTT